CACACCTCATGGTGACCCAGCTCAGCCCAGATGGAAGTCATCTGGTTAGGGCTTCAGACTGATTTCACCAACAATGACGTCATGCTCGTCCACACCCATTCCCACATCAACTCCTTCCCAGTCCCCTTCCCACTCACACAGGCAGTGCCAAGAAGTGAAAATGGAAGCAGACTCAGGAACCTGGGCTGGGGTTGTGTCTAGGGACACGACCGGGGCCCAGGGCTTGGATCACAGACAACTCCAGGCTCCGACCTTATCCAGCCCAGCCTCCCAAGCTGCGCGGCACCACAGCTGCAGAATCTGCAACGTACAGGAGCTGGCTTTTCACTTAAAGTCAAGGGAGGAGAATGGAAAGATTTCCCACAAAGCCCTTCTCTCATCGGGCAGCCTGTTTCCCTGCTTGCCTCTGGGCCTCAGGACACTCAGGGTGGCCTGTCCCTGCTGTGGCCCCACAGCCTTCAATCCAGGCCAGCCAGGGACGTCTGCGGGTCACCACACCCCAGCTCCGAGGACCCAGAGAGGCAGAGGGTCTTTGTGGGCTCTGAGAATATCACCATGAATTGCAAAATGTTCTTTTCCATTTTATGGGATTTTAACTTTACTCAGTACCCAGCCGGGGGCAGGCCCAGAGGACTTTGATCCCACGGGCGACCAATGGAATAAACTGTTTCTACAAATGGGGCCTCATCCCAACCTCTTCTCCACCCCTCCTCTCAAAGGTGGCCTGTTTAAGAGCAAGCTGCTCTAATCGTACCACACCTTCCTGGGAGCTGGGTGGCAGGGAGGAGTGGGGGGTGCTGAGCCATCACTGTGACCATGAGCTTCCTGGAAAGGGGGAGAGAATTCAAGATCTCCCCATTCTCGAAAGAACCAGAGTGGTTCCTCAGAAAAAACCGTGAAGTGTCACTGGCCGGAGGCTAGCACAGCCTGGAATGTATGAGCCACCAGCTTCTCCACCATGGCCCACTCAGCTCCTCCATGGAGGCTGGGGGTGGGGAGAAATATGTTTCTTCAGAAGCCCCCAGGGCTAGCCCACCCCAGCCTTCTCACAGGGTGCTTTGAGGGCGGAGCTGCAGCCCAGCTCCTCCAGCCTCTGCCCTCACAAAGGCCCCCTCTGTCCCAGCCTCCCCTACGGTCCTCACTCCCCCAACCCCCACCACACACATGCTCTTCCTACAGGAGCAGATTCCAAGCCCAGCTCATGTCGGAGGCTGCCTCCCCACAACGTGCTGGAACAAAGGCTGCTCATGGCTAAATGTGCCGGGGTGCTTGTCAGGGCTTAGGCAAACGTAATTACAGGGAGAGGCAAAGCCGCTCTCGCAGCCACACCTGGCCATACAGTAAACAGCACTTTTTCCTGTCGAGCTGGGGGGGAGCTGAGAGACAGGGAGGCGACAAAACCACAATTTGAATCATTTGGAGAGAAGCTATAAATATAATAATGAGTCATTTGTAAAATATAATTTCATCCAAAAGCCTGGAAAAAATAGGAAAGAAGTTCTTATGCTATTTCAGGCGAAATTGTTCAAGGGTGTTCTGCCAGAACCTGGGGAGGGGACCCAGCTGCCCACCAAGAGCCAGGCTGGGATTCACATACAGGCCTTCCCGAACTCCATGCCTTCCCCCGCCCCACCACCCCACAGAGTGCTGCCTGGGACAGCGCCTTCCTGGGCTCCTCGGACTGCGCTGCGCCGAGGTGGGAATGCCACAGAGCTGATAAGAATCATGGACGAGCCAGCCCGACGTCCAGGCTGTGCAGCCTCAGAACAGCTTGGGGCAGGCACGCTACTGTTTTTGGCACACTCTTCCCCCAGCCTTGGGGCCCTACCGGCCTTTCATACACAGGGTGGCTTTTCTAGTGCTGCTCCAGGGTCTCTTCTAGAACACTGAGAAGCCTTCATTCCAGCCCTGGGCCCCAACTGCTCTGGGAAAAGAAGGTGGAGCCTTTCTAAAGCTCTGTCTGGGAGAGGGGCTGAGGTCACACTAGGCTTGGTCAGGTCACCAATACCATTCCGGGTAGTTGTGAAGAGCATGTGCTCTGGAACTAGACTTTTCTTAGGTTCAATTACATCTGGGCCACTTAATATCTGTGTGACCTTAAGAAAGTTACCTAACCTCTCTGGGCTCAGTTAACTCATTTATTAGATTGGTCTAGTCATAATTGTACTTCCTCAAAGGACTCTTGACAAGATGAAATGAGTTAATAAGGAAACACCTGGAATAGGGCCTGGCATAGTAAGTACTCAATAATGTTTAATAAGATTATTATTATCTCTCACTGTGCATAATAATAATCGGTAAAACAGGAAACCACAGGACAAAGGTACCATGGCATACATCGTTCACCATGGGTGGCCGTGGACACATGGGGTCAGGTCCCCTGGCTTGTCCCGTCAATCTTGAGCAAACTCTTCAATCTCTGCAGCTAGAGGATCCCCTTTATCCCTCCTTACACCCCTACTTTGCCTCTGAACAGAAGTAGGGAGAGGAGACAGAGTAGCATTCTACCTTCTGGGGTTTGGTTTTGTTTTTTAGACACAGGGTCTTGCTCTATCACCCAGGCTGGAGTGCAGTGGTGTGATCATAGCTCTCTGCAGCCTCTAATTCCTGGGCTCAAGCCATCCTCCCACTTCAGCCTCCCAAGTAGCTGGGACTACAGGCCGCACTACCACACCCAGCTAATTTTTAATTTTTTTTTTTCAGAGATAGGGTCTCACTATGTTGCCCAGGCTGGTCTCAAACTCCTGGCCTCAAGCGATCCTCCTGCCTCAGCCTCCTGAGTCATGGGGATTACAAGAGCAACAAGCCACTATGCCCGTCTTCTATCTACTGTTTCGGGGCCCTAAGTCAGTTGCTACTTTAAAACAACTAAACACATCCTGAGCTCTAACTTCAGCCCCTTCCTCTCTCCCCTCTTGCCCCCTCTTCCTCTCTTCACTTCCCTCTTCACTTTCCTCTTCTTCATGTCATCCCTCTCCTTCCTTGTCTTCTAATCCCAGGGCAGAGCTGGGAGAGTGGGATGAGATCAATGTACTCACAGCCTCTGCTCCCCCCAAACCACCAGGTCCTTTTCCCTTGTTGCTGAGAGTGGCCTTGAAATCCCTCAGTAACACTTCTCCCCCACCCTTAGGTTCCTGCTACACCAGGGAAGCCAGAAGAAGTAGACAGAAATAGTCTCCATGTCAATATGCTGCATTTTCCTTTCTCAGAAACCAGAGCACCGCAGCCAGCTCTAGCCCAGAGGGAAAGTAAGAGGATGTTTTTGCAGCCGGTGTCCCTTCTCCTGTAACTACTAAACTGTCACCCCCTCACTAAAGAGGATGCCTTTGCCTATGCTGTCCCCACCCCTTGGGGCAAGCTTTGTCCTCTATTGGCATGGGTAACTTTTTTTTCTTCACTAATTCTTTAATGTTATAAAATACCTGTCAGTGTTCACATTTCCCTGAATGAGTTTTAATTTTTTCTTTTTTTAGTATGTTTGTTTGAAGTAGAAGTCTAAACAAGATCTATATGTTGTGATTAACTGATATGTCTCTGAAGTCTCTTGTTTATAGTTCTGTGTGTAAATCTCTCTCTCTCTCTCCCCCTTTGCACTTTTTTTAATGAACAAAATCTGATTGTTTATCTTACAGAAATTTCCCAAATCTGGAGTTGTAAAATTATTAAAACACAGTGGTGTCACTTAACAACATGTTTCTCTGTCCCTTGTAAAGCTAGTAAATTGGTAGTTAGATCTAGTGGCCAGAGTCAGCTTTGGTTATTACCTCTTTTTGTTCTTATTTTTTGGCAATATTACTTCACATTGCTAGTATATAATACTACCCAGTTGCTTCCTTTTGTCACATTGTCAGTCATTGTTGATCATTGCCTAGATTCATTAATTCATTAGAGCATACAAAATTTTGTTACTCTATTCTGTCACTCCTTATTCATTTATTAGATAGAACTCCCCATTTCTAGTGCTCTTAAATTGCTTTGTATAGATTCAGATTTCTATCTAGTATAATTTTCCTTCTGTTTGAAGGACTTCAGTCACCATTTTTTATAATGCAAGTATTTTGGTGGTTCTTGCCATTTTAACTGTCTGAAAAGTTTTTATTTTAATGCAAGTATTTTGGTGGTTCTTGCCATTTTAACTGTCTGAAAAGTTTTTATTTCCCCTTCATTTTTGAAAGCTACTTTTGTTGGGTATAGAATTCTAGGATGACAATTTTTTTCCTTCAGTATTTAGAAGATGTTATTCCCTTGTCTTCTGGCTTTCATTGTTTTCAAAAAGAAGTCTGTGGCCAAGAAGTATGCGGCCAAGAAGTCTGCGGCCAGGTGCAGTGACTCATGCCTATAACGTAATCCCAGCACTTTAGGAGGCCAAGAAGGGCAGATAACCTGAGGTCAGGAGTTCGAGACCAGCCTAGCCAACATGCTGAAACCCCACCTCTACTAAAAATATGAAATTTAGCCTGTAATCCCAGCTACTCAAGAGGCTGAGGCAGGAGAATCACCTGAACCCAGGAGGTGGAGGTTGTAGTGAGCCAAGATCATGCCACTGTACTCCAGCCTTTGCCACAGAGTGAGACTATGTACCCCCAAAATAAAAAAAGAAAATAAGAAAAGAAAAACAAAAAGAAGTCTGCTGTCTTTTTTTTTTTTTTTTTGAGATGGCATCTCACCCTGTCACCCAAGCTGGAGTGCAATAGTACGATCTCAGCTCACTGCAACCTCCACCTCCTGGGTTCAAATGACTCTCCTGCCTCAGTCTAGCAGGTTGCTGGGATTACAGGAGTGCCCCACCACACCCAGCTAATTTTTTTTTTTTTTATAAAGCTACTTTTAATACTTTGGAGTGAGCCCCACAGGAATAAAAAACACTGGGAAGGAGTAAACCCCTCATCCCCGGGAGTGGCCCAGAGGGAGAGAGGCTACCTGAGGGGAAGGAAGCACAAAATCCCTTTTCCCACTGCAGACTCAGAGCAAAAGGAATCCCATCGGTGCTGGGACCTGTGAGCACTACAGGAGGAATATGAGCATGGTGGGACTGGTCCAGCCACACAGGCAAAGGGCAAGAGGGTTGGACACGAAGCCACAAAGCTACTTGGGTTCCTCCTTCTTCTTGTTTGCCTTTTTCTGCTTCGGCTGCGTGATCTCCGACTCCCTCTGCTTGCAGGCAGCAGCAGAAAGCCCGTCACCTTGGCACTTTCCCTTAACGAAGTTGCTCTGCTTTCTCATATTCTTCTGGCGGGTGAGCTCTTGCTGGTTACAGTGGGTCATGGCGACGACAGCAGCTCCTTTTTTTTTTTTTTTAAATCTTTAGTAGAGAGGGGCACTATGTTGGCCAGGCTGGTTTCAAACTCCTGAGCTCATGAACTGCTTGCCTTGGCCTCCCAAAGTGCTGGGATTACAGATGTGAGCCACCACACCCGGCCTGCTGTCTTTTTTTTTTTTTTTTTTTTTTTTTGAGATGGAGTCTCACTCTGTCACCCAGGCTGGAGTGCAGTGGTGAGATCTCGGATCTCTGCAACCTCTGCCTCCCAGGTTCAAGTGATTCCCCTGCCTCGGCCTTCTGTAGCTGGGACTACAGGCATGTGCCACCATGCCCAGCTAATTTTTTATATTTTTGGTAGAGACGGGGTTTTATCATGTTAGCCAGGAGGGTCTCAATCTCGCGACCTCATGATCCGCCCACCTTGGCCTCCCAAAGGGCTAGGATTACAGGTGTGAGCCACCATGCACAGCCTGTCATTTTCAGTGTTGCACCTTTGCACACACTGTGTTCTGTTTTCCTCTAGCTGCTTATAAGATACTCTGTTTCACACTGGTTTGAAACAGTTTGGTTATGATGTGTTCTTTGTGTAGTTCTCCAGTTTTTTTGTGCTAGGGGTTCATCGAGCTTCTTGGATTTGTGGACTTAACAGTTTTCATCAAATTTGGAATATATTTGGTCATTATGCCTTCAAATATTTTTCTACCCTCTTCCTTTGCCTGGAACTCCAATTACACAAATATTAGGCCACTTGAAGTTTTCTTTTTTTTTTTGAGACAGATTCTCATGCTGTCACCCAGGATAGAGTGCAGTGGCGTGATCTTGGCTCACTTCAACCTCCCCCTCCTGGGTTCAAGCAATTCTCCTGCCTCAGCCTCCCAAGTAGCTGGGACTACAGGTGTGTACCACCATGCCAAGCTTTTTTTTTTTTTTTTTTTTTTGTATTTTTAGTAGAGATGGGGTTTCACCATGTTAGCCAGATGGTCTTGATCTCCTGACCTCATAATCCACCTGCTTTGGCCTCCCGAAGTGCTGGGATTCCACCAGTACAGCTTTTTTTTTTTTTTTTTTTTTTTTTTTTTTTTTTTTTTTTTTTAGACAGAGTCTCGCTCTCACTTTGTCTCCGGGCTAGAGTGCAGTGGTACAATCTTGGTTCACTGCAACCTCTGCCTCCTGGGTTCAAGCAATTCCCCTGCCTCAGCCTCCTGAGTAGCTGAGACTACAGGTGCATGCCACCAGGTCCAGCTAATTTTTGTATTTTTAGTAGAGACAAGGTTTCACCACATTGGCCAGGATGGTCTCGATCTCTTGACCTTGTGATCTGCCCGCCTTGGCTCCCAAAGTGCTGAGATTACAGGTGTGAGCCGCCGCGCCCGGCAGCCACTTGAAGTTTTCTTACAGCTCACTGGTGCTCTGCTCTTTTTTGTTTTTCTCAATCTCACTTCTCTGTGTTTCTTTTGGATAGTCTCTATGAATATATCTTCAGCTTCATTTGTTTTTTTCTTCCGCAGTGTTAACTCTGCTGTTGATTTCACCCAATATATTTTTTATTTCACATTATAGTTTTCATTGCTAGAAGTTTAGTTTGGATTTTTAAAATATCTTCCATGCCTTTATTTAACATACTTAATCTTTTACTTTCTTAAACATATAATAACTGTTTTAATGTCCTGTCTACTAACGTCCTTTTTCTAACATCTATGTCATTTCTGGGTCTGTTTCCATTGAGTGATTTACTTTCCTTGTTATTAGTCATATTTTCCTCATTATTTGTATGCCTGTATCTAGTAATTTTTGACTGGATAGTAGACACTGTGAATTTTACCTTGTTGGGTGTTGGACAATTTTATATTTCTGTAAATCCTCTGAAACTTTGTTCTGAGACACAGTTATTTGGAAACAGATCTTTTCAAGTTTGATTGTTTTTAAACTTTGTTAGTTGAGACCAGAATATCCACTAGTCTAGTGCTAACTTTGCCCCATTACTGAGATAATACCCTTCTGAGTACTCTATCTGATGTCTTGTGATTTATGAGGTTTTCCAACTGGCTGATGAGAACATACACTCCAGGGATTATTTCCTCTGTTCCTTTCATGTGGTTGTTTCCCTAGACTCAGATACTTTCTTCACATACATGCTCTGATCAGTACTCAGCCAAAGGCTTAAGGGGACCCGCTCCAGATTTCTGCCTCTCTCTCTCTCCCCCGACCTTGTGCCCCCCACCTTTATTCTCATCCTTCATTTCTCTGTAGCTCTCTCCTGTTTGGTACATTGCCCTTAAAACTATAGCTGCCTTGGCCTCCCTGGATTCCCCGTTCCATCTCCTCAGCTCAGAGAGGCTACTGGACTCTGCCTGGATTCCTCCTCTTTGCAAAGCAGCCTAGAAACTCTCTCAAGGCAGTAGGATGGAGCAAATGTTCAGCTCAGCTCATTTGTTTTCCCTCTCTCAGGGATCACTGTCCTGTGCTGTCTGATATCCCAAACCATTGCTTCATACATTTTATACAACATTTTAATTGCTCTAGGAAGGAGCATGAAGTCCATGCCTATTATTCCATCTTGGCCAGAAACAGAAGTTGTTCTGGATAACTTCTGCTTAAATTTGTATATTCAGCTCAGGACCTTGCTTTCAGAAGACTTCCCTGTGCCCCACCATTATCTCCACCAGTGTAGGTTGGAAGCTCTTCTTTAGTGAGCTTATAATACCCTACCTGTAAGTATGACTATCACTTATGAGTCTCTCTGCAGGGCCACTATGTTGCTTTCTAGTCCACGAGCTCATTTGGGGTAGAGTTATATCTCAACATCTTTGTGTTCTCCCTGGTGTCTGGTATATAGTAGGTGCTGAATTAAATGTTTAAGAGGACTCAGTAAACATAAGATTCAGAAAGAAAAAAGAAAGCAAGAAAGAAAGAAAAAGAGAAAAGAAATAAATGTTTAGGAGAATGAGGCGGGGCAGTGGCTCATGCCTGTGATCTCAACACTTTGAAAGGGCCAAAGCAGGAGGATCACTTGAGCACAGGAGTTCAAGGCTGCAGTGAGCTGTCACTATGCCACTGCTCTCCAGCCTTGACAATGGAGCAAGATACTTTCTTTAAAACAACAACAGCAAAAAAAAGTTTAGAGCAAACCACACTGCCATGTGTGTACCTATGCAACAATCTTGCATGTTCTTCACATGTACCCCCAAACCTAAAATGCAATTAAAAAAAAAGGAAAAAAAAATTTAGGAGAATGAATGAAGAGAAACCCATAGTCACTTGGCCATCACCAGCTATAACTAAACAATGAGAAGACCATACCTATAACTGGCATTTACTATTAGACTCACCATAAACTATGGGCACTGACACTGACAGCTGTCTCTGGGCACCTCCCTCATCCTGAGCTGATCTGGCAATGTCCAGAGCACTCCCAAGAATGTGACTTTAAATATCCTGACCTTGACAATCCCAAGGCCTTCAATGGAGGGTGTGTGGCACTGAGACATATGAGTCATTGAAGGTGCCAGAAAAGTGTAACTGCTTCACTAAGACTTTCAGAATACTCCCTGTCCTAAGGTGAGATGGAGGAAAGAAAATAAACATGGAAAAGCCTAGTAAACACTCTCCCCAGTATTTGTCACATTCTCTGCCTCCCACAGTCCAGAATTCTCTGACTACACAAGGGACACTGACAGAGAATCCCAGGCACACTCACTGCCAGCTCAGTGTCTGGACAAAGCAGCCCTAATAGATCCAAGGAAGAATCAAACACGATCAAGGAGTAAGACAGCAGGGACTCGGTAAATCAGTTCCCGGAATCACAGTCCACATACTTCCCAAACCTACCTTGGCTGTAGAAACCCATGCTTTTCAGGTCTAATAGACAAGGCTCTGCTGAGCTTTCACTCTGAGCCCTACATAGGGCACAGATAGTATCAGGACAAAATGAGTCCTGCTGATCATCCTTAAAGAATTTAATAATTTCTTGGCCGGGCACGGTGGCTCAAGCTTGTAATCCCAGCACTTTGGGAGGCCGAGGCGGGTGGATCACGAGGTCGAGAGATCGAGACCATCCTGGTCAACATGGTGAAACCCCGTCTCTACTAAAAATACAAAAAATTAGCTGGGCATGGTGGCGCGTGCCTGTAATCCCAGCTACTCAGGAGGCTGAGACAGGAGAATTGCCTGAACCCAGGAGGCGGAGGTTGCGGTGAGCCGAGATTGCACCATTGCACTCCAGCCTGGGTAACAAGAGCGAAACTCTGTCTCAAAAAAAAAAAAAAAAAAAAAAAAAAAAAAAGAATTTAATAATTTCCTTAAATGCGATGTTTCCCAAAGTGGGGCTCCCTTGCCACCCACATGTGAATCACCAAGGATATTTGTTACCAAGCCCAATCCCAGATAGAAGGAATCAGATTCTTTGGGGTTGAAGCCCAATAATCTGTATTTTTAATAAACATCTTATGTACACCAAAGTGTGAGAACCACTGCTTTAATGTTCATGGAAGACATTAAAGCAGTGGTTTTGTGAAGACTGATTGGTTGTGCTTTGGGACCTGAAAATAACGTTAAGAGTTGAAGTCTACAGCCATTGTCATCTGGGCTTGGAGTTTCTTTGTGGGCTCCTGGTTGATTCTATGAGCTAGTAGAGCTAGTATATGAAACCAGATAGAGCTTTTTTTTTTTTTTTTTTTTTTTTTTTGAGAGGGAGTTTCACTCTTGTTGCCCAGGTTGGAGTGCAATAACGTGATCTCAGCTCACCACAACCTCTGCCTCCTGGATCCAAGCGATTCTCCTACCTCAGACTCCCAAGTATCTGGGATTACAGGCGTGCACCACCACACCCAGCTAATTTTTGTATTTTTAGTAGAGAAGGGGTTTCGCCGTGTTGGTCAGGATGGTCTTGAACTCCCAACCTCAGATGATCCACTTACCTCGGCCTCCCAAAGTGCTGGGATTACAGGCATGAGCCACCGCACCTGGCAGAAACCAGAGCTCTTTGTGAGGCTAGTCTTTGAGTCTG